GAGGGTTAAAAGTCTCTTAACATGGTGCGAGATCAGATGAGCATAGATTGCCTGAACTTTTGGGGTTGGAAAATCAATGTGCTTTTAACACTAGGAAGGGTGAGGTTCATTAGTTGTGTCCTCAGTTCCAGGAGGAGGAAGCTCTTGCTAAAATGCAAGTTGATCCAGGAGGGAATTGTCAATACCAGCACTTTCAGCCCCATGTACCTGCTGTGCTAGTGCTGTTCAGACCTGCTAATTTATCAAACTGAGCGGCGATAATTGTAAAAACAGTATCCCAGCATAATTGTGCCTTTTACTCTGSTGCGGGTGGGTGAGAAGACTATGAAAGGCTGTTACGGACACCCCGTAGATGTGTGTACACCCTAAAGGTATATGTACATCCTGCAGGTGTGTGCATGCTGGAGGTGTATGCACACCTCGTAGNAATCCAATACTTTTCCTTTCTGTTCATTTCACTTTGTACCCTGCATCCAGGGTTTCAAAGTGTTCAATTTTGGCAACATAAAGCCCTTTACAATGCACCTAAATTAATCGAAATCCATTTTGTTACATTCACTCCACTTAGAAATTTTCTTTATTTTTATTTTTTTCACATTTAAATTTCAATTTTCTTTCAGTTTAACTTTTCCTTCTGTTTTTCTCTCTGCCTCTATTTCCTACTGTAAAACAATATTCCCGGAACTGGTGGCTAATGAAGCATTTTCCTAAGTGGAAAGGTTTTTCTCAGCTCGGCTAAGTTGATGCTAAATAAAAGGTTCATTAACACTAAGGCATGCTAGAAGAAGTGGGTTTAGGTTGGATTAAGTGTTGTATTTAACACTGTGCCAGAGATGGTTGATTTTGGATAATTTGATTTTGAGATCTTTGAGTGCGATTTTTACCACTTGGGTCCATCTGGTGGGGATATTTCCTTTGTGCTAAGAGAGAGGAAAAGAACCATGACCTAAACACCTGGATCTAAGGATGCAGGGTTTACCTGGGGCCACCACTGCCAACTGCACACTTTGTCATCTGTGCCACCTGTGGTGATGATCATTGCTGGGTCCATTGCCAGGCTGCTGGAAGGTGCTAGGGTTACGGATCAGAGATCTAAAGAGCCCGGAGCTTCAGGCACTCTGGTGCTGCAAAGTGACTGCGAGACCATCATGGCAAGGCTCCAAAGCAGCTGCCACTACATTTTTCTGACATGGCCCACTCAGGTAGCGGGTTTGGGTAATTAACTAGGGCTAGGGTTAGGGTTCTGCCTAGGGCTAGGGTTGGGAGATCTAAAGAGCCTGGTGCTCTGCCAGGCACACTGATGCTGCAAAGTGACTGTGGTGGACATTGCAACAAGGCCCTAAGGTGGCTGCTCCAACATCATTCTTACAAGGAGAATCCTGGTAGTAGGGTTGGTAATAAACTAGGGCTAGGGTTAGGGTTCCGCCTAGGGTTAGAGTTTGGAGATCAAAAGAGCCTGGCGCTCCAGGCACTCTGGCGTTGCAAAGGGCCTGTGGCCATCGTGGCAAGGCCCCAGCATGGCAGCTCCTACGCCTTTCTGACATGGCTGACCCAGGTCTTGGAGCTCCAGGCACACTGGCTCTGCAAAGGGGCTTCCAAGATGATTGCATCAAGGCCCCAACATTCCTGCTCCTGAAAGTTTTTGCATTGAACCCCCTCTGTGGGTGTGCACCTCCGACCATGTGACAAGCTGCCCTGTGGGTTTGGCTTCAGCTTGGGAGAGCTGTGAAGCCTACAGCTGTGGGGACACGGGCACTGGATATGACATTGGAAGTCCTACAAGGGAGGCTTCTGTCCGTGACTGGCTGTTGCATGACTCTCAGCATCTTGCAATGCCAGTGCCTGTCACTGCTGGGAGAGGCTGGCTAAGCTTTGCTAAAGGCTGGGCTTTTAGGGCCCTGCTCTGTCCCCCAGAGCCACCCCAAGCCCCGGCTGACTTGTGAGTCAGGGACTCTTGGAGTGGCAGTGTTCACCTGGGCCCTGAGTGACCAAGGAAACAGCTTTCCTGCCTAATTGGCTGGCAGCTGAAGTCCACAGGGCTTAAATAATTGAGCACGATGTCTGCCCTTCCTGGAGTTCCTGTCCTGCCCCTGCTGGAATGCCAGGAGGTGGGAGCTATCTGGGTGTTTTTTTCTGGATCCCTTCTCTCCTTCTGTATTGCTTTCTTCCTCTCTTTATTTCCCTGAAATTTTTGCATATCAGTAGTGGTATGGATCTATTTAAATACAGCAAAGCAAAAACTATGTTTCTGTGGGTAAAATGGAAAGTACTTTGAAGGTTCAAAATGTTCCGAGAAAATTAAATACAAATCATTTCAGATTACATGTCGATGTGAAAAAAATGATTTTTTTTTTTTTTTTGAGTTGCAAAATGCTGAAAGAAAGAAAGAAAGAGAAAATTAGGGAAAATTTGGAAGAAACTAAGGTTTCTTAAATAAGCATAGGATAGTTCATTGCTGCACTCTTCTACCTTTGTTTCTGCTGCGTTGGGGTGGGCGGAGCAAAGCAGTTTTTGCCTTCCTTTTTTTTTTTTTTTTTTTTTTTT